CAACGGACTCCTCTAAATATGGTGGCTTGAAGTGGGGTCCATGTTCACCTGAACTGAATTTTGGTTCTATGATCGGCTTTGGTTTGGAAGTATCCCACAGCAGCATTGTGATCGTCTAGCCCGGCAAAGATTGAGCAGCCAGAGCTGGCTTGTTGGTTTAGGGGCTAAGAGTGGACAGGGTTCCTTAAAGTTACATCCTCAATAGTCGCTTTATGGTGGTTTAAGAGGACACCCTCGAAAGTCAGGATAAGCACCCGGTAATTGGAGGGTAGACAGTCCCAACCACAAATGGGGGGTAATCATGCTAATACCAGGTTTTGATCGTGACTTCCGAATGCGTCCTTCAAAATACCGTTACCACTTGCAATATGTGTCAGGGAATGAATCACGAACTGAAGCATCCTTCTTGGGGTTGGTTCCCCATTCTTTTCAACCATCGTTCTTTTCAAACGCCGGCTGTTTCCCCTGTGTTTTTGATGGTTGCCTGAAAAGAAGGATCCCTGGAAAGAAATGGAAGGTACCCCTAGAATCCGATATAGTTTCCCGGCCGGCGTTTGAAGGTCCATGGCTTCCATCGCAGGCGGCGACTCTGGGCTCCTTGGGATTGAAGGATGGGGACTTCATCACGGTGCTCCTGGAGGTCCGGTCGCCGAAGTTTCGGGGAGAAAACACGAGTTTCAACAGATACATCTTACCCATTTAAAACGTGGCTTTTTCCACCAAAATAAAGGGAAACCACCATTTTCAAGGCAGTGTTTAGGTGTTTAATGTAAGGATCCCTGTTCAAGCCCAAGGTCCCGTGATTCTTTTTTGTTTGTTTCCGTTTGGACAGATTACTTGATACCTTGCCCAGGAGCGAGTTGCTGGTCCTGAAACGGTCAAGTGCCCAGGCTTTTGGTGATGAGGCTCATGATGATGGACATGATGATTATACTGATTATGCATTGCCTTCTTGATTCGTGATGCTGGTAGGGATGATGATATGATGCTTACCAATTAAGTCGGCGGTTGGGAGGTGGTTCCTTGTTGTTGGCATTCCTGCGCGCCCTGCTTTGAATGTGTCTTTCTCTTCTGGTCCAGCCGGCTAGTTGGTGTGTTGGCCAGTTAGGCTGATAGCTCAGAAAGCTGTTAGCTGATGAGCTGGTGAAGTAGTTAGCTAGAGAGGAAGCTAGCTGCTTTCAAAGCTAGCTCGTTAGATAGTTTCCCAGCTACATGGCTAGCTGGCCAGCAGTTGCTCGGCGCGCCAGGTGCCTGACAAACCTCGTGGGGGTTCCAGACCAAAATGAATCAACCAACGCACGCGCGTGTCATAGCGCGGCGGTGGCACCACAGGCACACCCGTTCACGGGCACAGGTCATAGCACTGCGCAGTTGTGGCGATGGCTGCTTTCTTGCTTTGAACTGTCATTTTGTTATTGCAAAAACATTAAAGCTCTACTGAAAATATATGTTGTGACAGAGAGAAAGCTGGCGCCAAGTAGTTTTCGAAGTCACAAGGAGGGTCGAAAAGGCTCACGCTGCCACTGAATCAACGGGTGAAAGCGCAGGAACTTCGAAACCGCCAGGCGCCTGTCAGCTCCCTGCCCAAGTCTTCACTGTTCTTGGCATGTTTTTTTTTCCTCCGTTTTTTTTTTTTTTTTTTATAGCTTTTTGGTTCTGTTCATTTTTACTGGGGGTCTGCAAAGAACAACGTTTTTTTTGCTACCATACCAAGAGTAGTTCGCTAGTCAAGATGTGATGAGCTCGCCGAAGTTGCCGTCCACCCAAAAGTTCGAGGCTGGCGAAGCGAGAAACACCGTTCGCAGGTCGACCCGCAACAAAGTGCACAAGGGTTGATTTGATGGTTGCGCAACAGCGCGCGCGGCCGTGCCGTTGGTCCGTTTCCGAGACCACTGCGAGCCCGCTTCTGTCGCCATGAGTGTGGTGATGATGGTGATGATGGTGATGATGATGATGATGAGGAGGAGGAGGATGATGATGATGATGATGACCATGATGTCTCACAGGTTTTTCTTCGCGACAAGCGGCACGTTTTCACCTTGTCTTTTTGGTGTGTCACAGGCGCCTGGACCCATCCTGCTGCAGGGCTCAGTGACGGCCTCCTGCACCAGCGACGATCTACAAACGGCTGTGACTTCGCCCAAGTTGGAGTATCCAATCTCCAAGGTGGAGATTTCCGTTGGGCTCTTTCACGACCAAGAACCTTGGTTTTTATCAGAGCGAGACTTGCCACAGGTGTTCAGCCGGGTGCGGTTCTGAACAGACCCTGAGTTTTGACCTGGCCAGGCAAGGCCACGTATCTGCCAGTGGCTTTGGCTTCGCAAGCGGTTTTTTTGCCCCCAGCCACGGAGCCACTTTTTGCGGCATCAGAACCAATTTGGCCACACTTCTTTTCCGCGTCCAAACCCTGACTTGGCAAACAGCTTGGCGACTTTTTTCGTTTCAAACAGCTTAGCCACTTCTCTGCAATTGGCCTCTGGCTCAAGAGAGCCCTACCTGATGACCCGGGCAATTGCTCTGCAGATCAAGATGGAACCCCAAAGCCCAGATTGCTCTTTCCTTCTTGGGATTCCATGGGTCAAAATTAAACCAATCGGACTGCGGGCTGTCCTTGTTTCCATTTTCCAGGGCAAGCCATTTGGGTACCCATCTTCGACAACCACACCCTTTTAAAACAAATTGCGGAGAGGGATGGTTTTGGGATCGCTCAAGCTGAGGACTGGGGCAACTGCAAGAGCAGCATCTGGCTGACTCTTCGGGGTCCAGAAGGCCACGGCATGCTTCCTTCAGCTGCCTTCAGTTGGGTATGGGTCAAAATTAAACCACCAGGAAATGGACCGCAGGTTTTGGTCCATTTTCCACTTACCAGGGTTCCATTTAGGGTACCTATTTTTGACCCACAGCCAGTTGCCTTCAGCCTTTCGCAGAAAGGGTCCAACCTCTGCCCAGAAAGCACTGCAAGAATGCCATTGGCCGGCCACCATGTGGCAACCGCCGAGTTTCGACGGCAACCGAAGAAAGGAACACACCTCCGTAGGCGACGTCCTGGCCGACAAGAACTTGTATGGCACCTACCGCGCTGCCGGGTACTCGCATGGAAAGCACCCCCCTGACCTCAGTCTTGGTGCGGAAGATGACATGGTGAGTCTGGCAAAGCCAGGGTGTGCCTTTGAGCTGCGCTACAGAGTCGGCGGAGGTGGGGGCCACAGGACACTTGCCGGGTTGTCAGAATTGGCAGCGGCTTCGTTTTTTTGTTTTTGGCGGGTACTAGGTTTGAGGTTGTTTTAAAGGGAAACCACTTGTTTGACACATACGCAAATGTTCGGCTTTTTTGTGGATTGTCAATGGGTGCGCCTGAAGGGCATGTTCAACCCCACGTGAAGTCCTTTTTCCTGGTTTCGGGGTTCGCTGGAAGTGGTCAACCCTTGCTTAACAAGGATTCGGCAGCGTCTCTGGGCAACTGTAAAAGCTGCCATTTGCTTAACAATATGATTTATTTTCCTTTGTTGGTTTTAAAACAATTTCACTACTGGACATATGTTCTTTTTGTTTTTCCTGGAGCCTTAACCAACTGGAAGAAAAGCTGCCATTTTTGATTCGCACTTTGACGCTTGCCAGACGTCAATCGGTTCGCAACGCGAGGATCACTGTAAAGAAATGGGTGTGCCGCATCTGCTACTCGAGTGAGGGGGAACCAAGCCAGACCATCAAGTTTCCGGAAGAGTCCTGTGACAGTGAGTCTTCCGTCGTTGATTTTGGCGGTGGGGGACTTTTTGGAACAGATTCAGAGTCGGACTTCTAGCTTTATGACTGTTTGGTTGGATTTGCAGACTTTATCTTTTCGGGAAGCAGTGGAGGTTCCATGGGACCCACAATGAGTCATCTTTTTTTGCAGAGGGGTCACCAACAGGTCAACGGCAACCAAGTTAGTTGGAGGTGTGATCAAGAAATGCTGCGCTTGAGGTTCGGGCGCTGAAATAGCCGCCGTCGAAAGGCACTTAAGCCAAGGCTCCCGTGCGTCAAGTTCCCATCGCTCCATTTGGAGACAAGCTCAGGTGCTAGATTGAGTGATCAGTGACGGCCGGCGAGGCGAAGCCTCCCTCAAGTTGTGCTCGATTGGAAAAGGTGCTGGCGCCCGCAGGATGCATGTGGTTTCTGGCGCGGGTTTGCCAGATGTTGCCTCATTTCCTGACAGAAAAGCTGCCGGGTTGAACCATCCCGGGTTTCCAACAACGGTTGGGACGTGTAAATCCCCAGGCGTGCCGATGTTCGGAGTTCGGATCAGCTGTTCCCATGGGCGTCTTGCGCTCTGGCAATTCCCTCCAAAGGGTTCAATTTTAGTCAAATCCGTACCCAGAGAACCCATGTGCGCTTGAAACCATACATATCCAAGCTGCCGGAGTCGGACAATGTCTCAAAAAGGCTCCAAACGATTGGAACGAAAGGCATGTGAGGGAAACTGGGGCGAAAACTCAGTAAAAGGGCCTATATTGTTCGGTTTTCGAGAACCTTCACAAAGGGCACAAAATACTTCGAAACTGGACGTTGTGGGCTTGGCATTCCAAATTCACGAGTTATGCGAGTTCGGGTTCTTTCGAAGTCCTATCCTTGCTAGTTGGTTGGTTCTTCGTTTTTTGGGTAAGGTGTAGTGTCCCATCCACAAAACTGGCGAAACAAGTTTTCAGTTTTGGGCCAGTCTCGAGGACAGATGCCTGGCGCTGAAGTGGAAGGAGCCCCATGGCAAACGACAGGCTTCGGATGCTGAACAAATGACTGGCGAAAACTCATCAAGATGAAGCCAAACAAGCTGCTACTGTGGATGGGCGAAATCCTGCACCGCTTTGAAACCATGGCAAACCGTTGTTGGTTGGTATTTCCAGGGGAATACCAATTCCTGCATTTCTTAGGTGGTGCAGGATTTCGTCCATCCACAGTATCACTTTTTGTATAGGGTAGTTAGCAAGTTTGGCTTGACTGAAACTTAGCAACGCATCAAAATGTCGAAACTCAAGCCATTGTATGGGGTAGTCAATTAGTTGCTTAAGTTTCCGGACATTCAAAAACAAGCAGTTTCCATCACGTTCTCCATACCCTACAACCTGGAAACCAATGAATCCCTTTTGAAAACCCGTTTTTCTCCAAAGCAAGCCTGCTGCCGTGTTTGAGCAAGCGAAATGAAGCTCGACGGATTTTCTGCCCAGTGGAATATAGTGCATTGTACGTGGAATGCTGGAGCGCATGACTGGAGGTCTGTTTCCAAATGTTTTGGCATGGTGTGTGTGTGTGTGTGCGCTCCTCTCGCTTCCCAATGCCTTGTTATGCCACACCCACTCGTCACTATTGATTCCCAAGCCTCATTCAAAAACCCTGACGTTGAGTCTAGTGTGTTGTGCCGCAGGCCAGGACATTGGAAGTGGAGAGCCCCCCATTGATGGTTGAAGCAAACAAAAACAATCGTTTGGTGGCTTTTATGATGCTTCACCGGGTGACTCCGAGAGAGCTCAGCACCCAAGATGGGTATGGATCAGAATGAAACCACCAGGAAATGGACCGCAGGTTTTGGTCCATGTTTCCACCTATCAGGGTTTTATTTGGGGTACCTATTTTTGACCCACAGCCATATTGCTCCACAGCTTACTGCTCATGAATATTTTAATCGGGAACCACCTCGATTGTGGACATTAATCCCCGCTATCTACCAGATCCCTGATTCAAAATCATGCCCTGAGGTTCCGTTCGAGCACCAACAACGAGTTCTTGAGGAGAGCTCTTGGGGGCCGACCGGACTGACTTGTAGATGCGGGCAGGGTCGAGGGAAAATGGCTTACCACTCTCAGCAGAATCATCTCATGCAATGGCAAGATTTGATTTGTAGCGCACCGGCACCAGGGCTGGCTGACTGCGAAGAGAAAGGCTAACTATATTCCGGACCATCGGCCTTGGCATGCATGCCATGTTTTGTTGCAGGGCTTTGCTTGGCAGAGCACTTGCAATGAACCACAGCTTGCAATTGTCTATCGACATGTGACAGAACCATGCGATTGTGCCTTGTAGGCATGACTGTCCCAGCACACAGGTAACTTTGTCGCATGTAGCACTACTTGCAGTTTCTATCCTTTGTGGAGACACCAAATCGTGAAAGGAAGCTTATTCCTGCTTGGTCTTGCCTGAATTTCGTTGTCGGGAAAGCATTTTGCCCTGTAAATACAAATGAAGAAACCGCCTCCCTCTGGTTTCCCTTCAAGCAACCGCAGCAAAGGGTGTCCTCAAGAAAAACTGACACCGATATCCGCATTGGACATTCAGATGGGTGTGGGTCAAAATTAATCCACCAGGGGACCGCAGGTTTTAGTCCATGTTTCCATTATGTTTCCATTTACCAGGATTCCGTTTTGGGTACATATTCTTGACCCACAGCCAAATGTGAAGCATTGCGTGCAGGAACCACGTTTCTCCTGGGGAGCGAAACCGTGCCTTGGTAAAACTGGCAGCGCTCGTTGTTTTTTTCCTTTCTTTTTCTTTTTCTGGATCAGTCTGGCTGATTGATTTGTCCAAGGTCAAAACCAGCTTTCAAGGGGTAGGTCCAAGGGCGCCCACCTGTTTGGATTTTTGTTTGACTCCAACTCCTCAGCAGCTTCCAATACCTCACATCCGCGGACTTGGGGAAGTCGGCGGCGCGTGTCCCTAAGTTGCAAGTGGAATTCTGGGCCCAAGGGATTGGCAACGGAACATGGTGCTTGGGAAGCATGTCTCCCATTTTTGCTTATGGTGGTTTAGCGGTTGAAATCCAAATCCACTTAACTGCTAACATCTACACTTTTGCTCCCCTAACCCAACTGTCAATGAGTCAACCAACTGCTTCGAGGCTTCTACAGCATCACGGCGGAGGAGGCGGATGAGAGCTTGCTGCCTTGGAAGGCCCCCGAGGCGCGCGGAACATTTGCATCGCAGGGACTGTTGGCATCGGGGGGCCACCCTTTTCAGGTGGCTTTGAAGAGAAACCAACAAAAACGTTGTTCAGGTTCTCTCATGTTGACTAGTGTCATCGACGGCTCGCTGGATCAAGCCTGTTCACACCGATTTCCAGTTCATTCGGATTGTTGATCGCCAGTCGTAACCGACCCCTGCCCCGAGACACGTCGTTGACATTGGTAATTTTGACATACCCATGTTGCATGTGTCAGGGCTTGCTTCGTGGCGTTGCGTGTTGCTTGGCAGGTTCAAGGTAATTTCACCAATGGATCTTTGTCGCATTTTGCCAACTTTAACTTTTTGCCAACTAATGGGTTTTCCGAATTAAACACTAAAAGTTAAAGCTTTTAGCGGAGCGGAAAGCCACCGAGGGCTGTCCTTTGGGATTTGAGCGACTTCGCGGCGGAGAGATCCTGGGCCACCGCACGTTTTGAGGCATTCCCACGTGTTTGGGCACAGGTCCTTGGAACGGAGCTTCGACCGCGTTCTCCACAGAAGTTCTTAATCTGCAAGTGGGAGGGCGAAATTCGCTGTCCGCAAATATGCCTCACTGTGGGTAACATGCTGCACCATGCTGCAACATGCCGGGCTACCTGACTGAGCTATACATGTCTGGCCAGTCATCCGAAATTGAAGGGAGGTGGCACTTGGCATGCTGCTCGGGGATGCAACTTTCCTTAAAGGATGGACAAGATTTCCCCTTGTCGTTTGCAGTACATGCACTCCAAAGGACAAAGGCTTTTGCTTAACAGGTCAGTTAGTGTGCCAGGCCGAGCCTTTTCGCTCTAGGAATCGACGGCTATCGACAGCTCGCCGACTTGGAATTCGGCATTTCGAGCTGCGTCTCGTTCTGGCACCTTGCCAGGCTGCCCTGCATCGATAGTTTCCTCATATTTTCGCAGAAGACATATCGCAGCTTGCAATTTTGAAACACCACCAGAAGCGACCCCAAAAGCCGAAGAGCCCCAAACAAACCAACGAAACGACCGACCGACCGACTGGCCCCATTTTCTTTGGCCCAGCCGCCAGAAGCCGTCCTCCGCAGCTGAAGGACGAGGCCTAGAAGTGAGGCGCGGTCTCCGCTCGCCGCTGGCCCTTCGCATCTCAGCCCCAGCGCGTTTGGCTGTCCCTCGGTTGTGGGAGGGGTAGGGTTTCAACCCTTGTCGATCCGTCGATCGGAAAGGAAGGAATCCTCTTTTTTTATGTTTATGGAAATTCACTCGGAAACACGCTTCCGGAATGCAGTTTGGTTGACCGCTTTAGCTGTACCAAACACGTTACAATCGCAAGGAGAACGATGTCAGAATGTGCTGAAGCTTGCAAAAAGGGTGAACTTGGCTAGTGCACGGACAGGACGTACTGCAGTACTAGTTTGCTACCCATAAGCTCCCGGCTAATTTTTGTATCGCAGAAACTCCTGAGAGTGTGAATTGATTCTTATTCTTCCATAGATGCTTTCCCTTCATGGAATGCAGGGTAGTATTTAGCATTCCGAGTGAACCAGGGGAGGGGCGTCTGCTGCTCAGAGGTTGGTCGGTCGCACGAGGCCAACACGATCACCGGGGGTGAGACTGCCCATGGAGAGCAAGGTCATGTCTATGAAGGACCGCGCACCGGTGTGTTTTACAAGTATTTGAGCTGCATGATGACCATCAAATGATCCCTTTGCTTATCAGGTCGATCGTTGGTTCTCAACTCAGTTCTTTTGGATGGTCTCTGCAGTTGCGGCTAGGGTGCAGCACCACATGATCTTGTACTCTGCATCTTTGGGGTTGCATCCAAAAAGCAACGACCGAAGGGTGGGAAATTGCTGTGGCTCAACAAAATGTACTAAAATGGGCCCTTGGTAAAGACTAAAACCTGCGTAACCCTAGCTTTCCAATTTTGAGCCACGCCCAAATTGGCATTGGCTGAGTTTTCCCGGGCCCAAACTCCTTTGAGAGCAGCGGGTCCTTCGTGGCAAGCGAACGGAAGTGATGAAAGGACGACCTCAACGCGGATTCGCGCGTGGGTTTGCCGATGCCTCAGTCAACTCTCTGAAGGCCTCCAATCGAAGCTTCCAGATGTAAAGCGCAGCTTTTGCGACGACCGAGTTCCTGTCACTTAAAGGCGTTCTTGGCTTTCCGTTTGTTTGTGCATAGATGTGCGATGCAGCCAAGTTTATTCATGTGCGTTCTTACAGATCGATTATTTCTTGGTTTCGAATTGGGTGCTTGAATTGCAACATAGGCACTTGGATCCTTACAGGCAACGTGCTTGGTGAACATGGTGAAATCTGAATCCGAAAAGCACATCGCCAGCCCCCCTCCCCCTCCACCCCCCACGCTCTCACACCACCCTCAGCTTGCGCTTTCCCAACCCGTTTTTGGGATCTTGGGCTGATGAGCTGCTTGCGCCTTCTTCTTTTTCCGCCTGCGTCCCTGAGGGGAATGGAATGAGCGACCAGGGGCTGCTCAAAATGAGCAAGATATCACGGTTCATGACAGATGTGCAGGTAGTCTACTGTGGGTTTGGGGAGAAGATGGGGCGGACAGCCAAATTTGTCCATGTCCTTTTGCGAAAAAGAAATGCTTGTGGTCAAGAAGCGGACATACACATTCTCGGCATACCTGTTTGTCTCTTCCACACAAAGGAACCCTTGTTGAGAGTCCACAAGGCCGGCTGAATCCACCCATTCCGGGTGCCTCCCCTAAAGTCCAGCATTCCGGCTTCCTCCCTTGAAGTTTCCGGCCTCGTCGGCTTCCTCCGCGTCAACTTCTCGGTGGGGTGGGGCGCGGCAGAGCCCAGAGGCTCCGCTGCGTGCTGGATTTGCACCCCCAGAGCTGCCCGGAGCAGCCGCTTCTGCCCAAAGCCCAGCGCTTCGAGGCGCGGCGGCGCGGGTCCGGAGGACTCGACTCGACGACGAAGCTCCGGGAGGCTCCGGGAAGATGTCCCATGGCAAGCCTTGGCTTGGTGGTTCCCAGGTGGGTGGGTGGGTGGGTGGGTGGGTGGTTGTGGGTGCCATCCGGTTCCTTAGTTTTTGAGCGCCTTTTGGTGTTTAGTCGTTGGATTTCCATTTAACCCACAAAAAGTTAAGCTTGTAGCGGGGGATCTGAGGACTGCCCAGCCTTGGTGGCCTAGACCTGGAAGCGCCGGGTAGTAGACTGAATTGGACACGCATGGCCTGAAAGGGTGAGCTTTTTCCATGCCAAAATTGGTCCCAAGAGAGTTTGTTTTACAAGGATGACGGGCCTAGCAAAATTGTTACAAGCCCACCCGGAGGCTTTCAAACTAGGGCCCCCCAAGTTTCCAATGAGCCACCAACCACAAGGGGGTCCACCATTTTGAGAAATCTGGGTACAAGATGAGCAAATGCCCGTGGGTCTCGAATGGAATCGTGAAGGGGAGTTGGGGGCAGCGTATTTCGGGTAGGGCTTTCCTCTTGGTGAAGTATATTCACCCAGTGGATGTCAGAAGGTGGGTTTGGTTGTTCAGATAGATATGGAACCCCAAGGCTTCGATTTCCGGTTTCCATCTCCTATCTGAAATGTACAGTTTAGGGAACCCCCAAAACTGAGATATTATGTGGCCTTCGCCTCTTCTGCACACATCATCCTGGCAAAAGGCTCACCCCCAGATGTTTGCGTTTGACATTTTGAACATGTGTGTTTTTCCGTTTTTCCCAACCAACATGTAGAGATTCGTTTTTCCGTTTTCAGATGACTGCTTGGACCTGACTGCTTTGGTAGGGATGTGCGAAACACCGCCTGAAGACTGGGCTTCAAGGCAAGCTGCAACTCGAGTGGATGTCGCTTGCCATACTGAGGCGAAGACCTGAAAGAGAGAGAGAGAGAGAGAGAGATTCAGCTTCACAGTTCTGAGAGAGGTGTTTTTTTTGTTTTTTCTCGATGGAATGGCAAGGAGGTGATCGGGGCAGATAGATGCAGCCTAGATTTCAATGAGCAAGTGGAAAGCTCACTCTGTTTGCAGTTTGCCTGTGAGGAGTATCAATGGAGCCACTGCATTTTCTGGCTTGTTGGTTTCCTCGATGGCAACTGCCCTGGGCAAGAGAGCCTGTCCTGAAGTGGGGTCAGATCCGGCTGTCCATCATTGACGTGGACAACATCAAAGTCTACAAGGATTTTGGCCAGCGCAACGACCGGGCCTTAGAGCGCTTCGACTTCGAAGCTCGAGGTTTGTGAAGCCAGCGCTGCGCTCGTTTCAACCGCGAATCGGAAGGGCGCCATTGGCAGCACGATGCATTGGCATGTAATGTGTCACGGGGGCAATGAAGCACGTGACCAGAGAGGTCTTCTTGTTGCCAGAGAGGCCTTGCAAAGCTGCGCATGCATGAAAAAGATCGAGCTGACTGCTGACACACCTCAACCAGTACGGACGTTTTCAAATGCCAGTTGAATGTTTGCCCAGGTGTACAAATGCAGTCTTGGTGCAGACAAAATACATGGGTTTTTGGTGGTTTCGAGCTGCACATTTGAGGTATTGAAGGCCAACAAAGTCGTTCTGCAGCAGAATTCCCCTCCCAGCAAACACGGACGTGCACTGACCCCCTGTTGCGAGACGGCTTCCTTGGAAAGGAGCTTGGTTCCTTTGTCGGATGGGTGATTGAATTGCTTTGGTGACCGTCGCGTCATGTCTGGGATAGAACGTAAGCTCCCACACATACACGCGATCCCTCTCCGATTCCCGGGGCAAATTCCTTGGCCATGGCTCCGCAGGAAGTTGTTTTTCGTCCTCGCCAAAAAAAGAGACGGGTAGGGTCGGAGAGCCCTGACCAGAAAAGGCCAAGTGCATCGTTCAGTGGCAAGCCTTTTGCCCGTTGGGTTTTGCACACGTGGTGAACCGCATTTGGCCATGAATTGAAGTAATGAACCCCCCGAAAAGTAGGGACAGTGGACATGATTCACCCCACCGAATTCTGATGTCCACCATTGCGGGTTCAACTAATTAAGAATTGGCACGATTCACCCCGCCTAAATGATGTCGGGTCCCCACCTAAATGATGTCCAACTATGTCCAACTAATCAAAAACACATGCCTCACTTCCTCAGTTCATGAACTTTAAGTTTTTTGGGAGGACCATTTGAGTGGTACAGAAAAAGTTTGGATTTTTTTTGGGCCATCCACTCAGCCAGTGAGAAAACAAGAAAACACCTGCGCATTTTCTTTCGAAGATCCGTTCGCCGGGCCAATCCCCGAGGATCTCTTCGTGGAGGTGAAGTTCAGGCCCGGCGAACTCGGCTCCGTTGCCGAGCTCCCGCCGGTCAGGGGTCGCGCGTTTTTCAGGGGCTCGGGTGAATGGCAAACGGTGGGGCGTTTCCCTGTCGCCTACCAAATAATGTGGGGACCTTGATGGCCAACTCATGCCCTGGATATTTGGCTCTTTTTGCTGGTTCCTGATGTTTGGAGGGGCACGCAGTGAAGGGGCAATGGACACCCGGATTCAAATATCCCCTGGTTACCATTGCATCTTGAAGCAGATAAAACGCCCATCTGGTGTTGTGGGAGCGCTCAGCGAACGACAGAAAGGTTAGAGTTTTCGGGGAGCTGGGAACGGAGAACGGCAACATGTTTTCCGGAATGGACACACGGAACACGGACAACTCATACTTCTTACCCTAATTTGTGTCTGCAAGCAGAGTAGCCAACAGCAAGGAACCCTGTGCAACATATGCATTTCAAGCTCAAGGTTTTTGTGGGCAATCGTTTCCAACATGTGTTTCATAGGTGTTTCTGATGAGCCGACCTCTTATTGTTCAATACTTTGATATCGTGAAGTGCAAACGAGTTGCGCAAAACAACTCGGAAGTCTTCCAACGCCATCCATGGTCAGCAATGTGTGCCTCTTAGCATGGCCACGGCAGCTTTTAAACACACACCGAAGGTTTGATCTGCCGGTTTCGTCGACTTGCGGGGGCAACGCTCTTCTCGGGACGTGGATGGACTCTTTTGCCAAATGTCATACCGTATACAGGAAAACAGGGGGCAGGTTGCCAGGCATGATCAACCGAAAAGCTCACAAATGGTTTGCGGCATCCATGATGTTTGAATGGGACACTCGGTGGGCATAAATCCCAGCGTAATGATGCCCGCCAGGGTCCAACCACTTAAAGCTCCCATTTGGTTTTTTACACCCTCCCCACTTACGTGGAGCCTCAAGACTCCCTCTCTCTTGGTTGTTTTGAAGGGCAGCTAAGCCGACACCCACCCATTTTGGGTTCCCTAAAGCACCAACACACCCAAAAAACAAACAAACTCAAAAAGCCAACACAAGAAGTTAGCCAAAAAGACATGGGGTTCGGTTCCACAAACAAAAAGCACCCACAAACGCACAGAACCCCACACCAGACGCCTCGCTTTCTCAACGAGGAGCGCCAGCCTCGAGGGCTCCGAGCAGCGGCGCTCCGAGGCCGAGGGGCCCAAGATTCGTCGCTCCCGGCCATTCGGTTCCTCTAGCAATTTTCGATTCTCTCCCCCAGCATTCTCTCCCGTTTTTGTGTAAGTTAGAGCTAGACTTGAAGGTTTTGTTCAAGACAGGCCCATAATACCCTGTGGGTAATTTGGCTCGCCCTATCAAGAATCTGAGTTCGCTTGGTTAAGAGTACCACGCCAGAACCTACTTCTAAAAGCGCTTTGGCACTTGTAGTACCCAAACCCTTCAGAAGCACGCTTCTGTGGACGGAAACCAGGAACTTCGATTGCCCGTCCAGAAGTGGACAGGAACTCCAAAAAGGAAAGTCGTCCACCTCCCAGAAAGGCGCCGAGCAGGTCGGTCGAATCTGAAACCCATCGCCCAGCCCGAGCCAAAAGAAAGCCCCTCCTCCGCTTCAGTCGGGGCGAAAAAAAGTTGAGGCCTGAAACCGGCAGCATGCCAATTGCCCCTCTCCCTCTGTACGATTGTCATGTCCCTTGAGGGAATAATGCTTTGTCCTTTTGTAGAAACAGGCAGACTTCTTGGCCCAACCTGTTGATTCACAACCAGTCTGTCGATGAAACCAACACACATGGAAGTGCAACAGTGCCTTTTCGGAAAACTACCTTCCTTCTAGACAGCCATGTTGGAGGCAGTAGTTCCCTTCGGCTTTTTTGGGTGTGAGCTTGGGCCCGATTTGCGTTTCCGGCCAGAAGACGGATATCCACCGCTGGGCCCATGCATTCGCAAGCTTCAATGAGCGCTTCTTGCGGGGGCCCTGGGCGCAACGACCGTGCCGTTGAGGACTTCTGCCCTTCAACCACATGAGTATCGACCAAAAGCGCCATTGAGCTTCGTTTTTATCCCCGGTACACGCGCACCACGTAAGCGGGTGGACGGGTGGACATGGACTGCAGTGGCGGAAGCTTCGCGGAAGGGTCTGCCTCCGGAAGCTTCGCGGAAGGTTTATGAAGCGACCATTGCAATTGCAACAACCGCCCAAAATCGACCGCACTGTGGCTGCGGATCCGCGGAACCCTTTTTGGCGAGGAGCAAAGGTAAGCAAAACGTGCCCGCGGAAGCAGTTTTAGCCAAGACATGTTCACGGAAGCAACGGTTCGCGGAAGGTTGAGCAACGAGCAACATCATTCGAAAATAAGATAGTCTCAATAACAGCTCCGTTGTTCATTTTAGCAGGTGGTTCTACTTTAGGGCCTTTAGGGTGCATCGTAAGACCTATATACACTTTCATATCCATGGTGGAAGCAACTATCAATGGGTGTTGGGCGCTGGTAAAATAGCCATGAAGTCTAACTAGGGACCCTTGAGGGGACATCATGGTTGGGTTCCTATCCACCAACCACTTTCGAGGTGGTTCCCACTAAGAAGAGCCAAAGTCGCAACTGTGAGTTCACATTTTTGCCACCGTGGTGAGAATCGCCCATATCTGGGATTCCTGAGATGTCTTTTTGCCCATCTGTCCATTTGCAGGATTTCTAACAGGGTACATTTTGGCCATGTGGAGAATCACAGATGATGTTCTTGCGGGACGGGTGACTTTTTGTCAGATGCATCCTTTGTTCAACCATGACTTGCCAGCCATTTCCTTGCCGAGCCTGCGCAGGGTTGCCGAGAAGATGGAATGATTCGAATCCACGAAGAAATCTCCGCTTCTTTAGCAACTCTTCTTTAGCAACTGCGCCCAGAAAAACTGCGGCTCTCAGAAGCCAAACGGCGTGCTTCTCAGCAGTGTACGCTTCAGAAGCCTCTTCGCAGAAGCGAACTCCGCTAAACAGCAATCAGGCTACAGCAAAATCATTTCACCCGCTTCGCCAACAAATTCCGCTTCAGCAACCACGAAGCGGGGAAACCCAAACTGTCGTTGACAAATTGGGGGGGGGGGTTTAACTCCTGATTTGATGACATTGGTATGAGCTGTCGCATGCCACTGCTACCACGCGATTTCCAGTGTGCTGGGTGGAGTGGGGTGGGGTCGGGTGGGGTCGGGTGGGGTCGGGTAGGGGATGTTAGCTTTCTTGCACACAAAGCCTGCTGCACGTGCTGCGGTGGGGCAGATTCGGGGCGGGGTGGGGTGGGGCTGTGGGGTGGGGCGGGATGGGGTGCGGTGGGGTGGGGTGTGTTGGTGTGCCCAGTTGCATGGAGTCATCCAACAAATTATTGACGGCAGAGCCACCATTTGTTGCCTTCTGTTCTGAAAATTCCACTCAAACAGAAACCTTGGCTGCCCGGACATACAATTTGGCGCTTGCCAGACATGACCGAGCCGGCCGCACAAACTGACGCTTTTGGTTTCTGAAGCAAGGCTTGGGCGATAGGTTTCTGTCCAACGCATCGGTTTCCGAAGCCTCTTTTTTTTTCCGAAGCACGCAGCTACAGGCTGAACCATCTAGTTTCCCGTTTCCGTCGAGACCCTTAGACCCTCAGACCCTCAAACCCTCAGACCGCCTTTGTTTCTTCATTTTTCGCTCCGTGCCTTCCAGCGAAGCCTTGGAGTCGAGGTTCGATGTCACCGCACCCGCTGTGAGCTGCGGCATGGACTTTGAGCTGATGGACTTCGACAGGGGCGTCAGCTCCGTGGGGATCCCCAAGCGGTGTCCGCCGAGAGCGAGCCCCGGCTCGGTCATTCCGCGTCATTCCGATGTTTGTTGTCTATTCTATTTGGTGGGGGGTTCACTCCAGAATTAACCATTCATTCTTTGTGTGGAAAGGCACTGCGAGCGCTGAGTGAGATGAGACCTGCTGTTTGGCTTCGCCTTGCTTGGCGCTCCTGAGGAATCCAGGGGGCGCGGCTAAACGATTCGAGAGACCACACGGATGTTGAATTCTTGGGAGAGGTAATGGTTTGAGTAGTTTATGCCATTCAGCATTATCATTCATTGTGAGAGGTAATTCTCTGTGAGAATGCACATTTGCCAGTTTTGCCCGCAGTCTATCCAAGCTTGGTAAGGGGGCAAGATATGACGCGGAGGATCAAGGCAGTATCGACCAATCAATCTTGGCCCTCAGGGAGGGCGAAGACACTCCTTCGCGCTGTCATGTTCGTTGTGCTTCGGTGCATTGGTTTTCATGAAGCATTTCGTGAACAGAAGTATCATTTGGGCCACAGCAGGCTTTAGCATTGACCTGGGATTCCTTTTTTGCAATTTTGGGCCATTGGCGGTTGAGTTGAGCGCGACATGTATCATAGGCGTGCTGGTTTAACGACCGTTGCCGATCACATGAGACAGGAAAACAACAGCTGCATTCCCTTTACAGACAGTACTCCCTTCCCCCTAATAATTAATTTGCCCCCCCCTCCCCCGAATACCAAATATTCTTTGGCCCAAATGATACTTATTAATATAGGGGAGATAGAGGTCGACCGGATTTCCTCTTCGGTTATGTCCAATTGGGCTTCCCCCTTTCCCGGACACGAACACCGTCAAAATCGCAAGGAACAAAAATAAATAAAGGGACAGTTCAAGGGTGTTTTACATTTTTGTGGTTCAAACGTAAAGCGCAGAATCTAAATTTAGAAACACATTTACAGAAGCAAATATACATAGAGCAAAGGTCAACCTTTGCTTTTTAGGCGAATGCCCCCTAATACGACTGGTGTCGGGATTGGAAGTCGGCAAATTTAGTATTGGTTTAGATTGGCGGATTCTAAAAGTAGCATTGGTGATGTGGGGGGCTGGGAACACTTTTTTTTAATAGGGTGCATTGATCATGACCTCCAGTTCACCAACATGGAAGCCACCAAAAGGGTCGCCTTTCGAGGAACGGCGCCTGCCAAAACACCGAAACCTCGGGTTCCATGTTAGGATCGGAATCTCTTGGTGCGAATCATGTCGGTCATGGGAAGTAAACTGTCCAAGCCTGTGGAGCAACGCTCAAGCCCCACATGGTACAGCAACCATAAGGGTTTTGACCACGGCACATACAGACCTTCAGGGTTGGGGGACCCGAGGCGGACCTCGTGTACTATCCGCAGGCAGTGTCCCTTGAGCTGCTTGCTTGGCCGGCACGGTTTCCACGCCATGCACGAAACGGAACCAGAGAGGGCGGCGCCAGCGAGGTCTCTTAGTCTCGGTTGACTCTTAGAATTATATAACACTAGATGACATTGTTCGGCGATTTCGCACCGTAAAGTAAGTTACTGTGCGTGCCAAGCAACCGCAGGAATTGAAGCTGGGTATTGACAGGGGGGCCAAGGATTGGACGGCTTTAATTTGTAAACTGGGAATATTGATGCACCATGGTGGCATGCACCTAGCAAGGCTTTGAGAGCATTCAGAGAAGCACCATCCCCGGCAAAAGCATCTTTCCCCGCAGCACAGATGTCTGATGACGTACCATCAATGTCCCATCGGGCAGTGGGTGATTTACGGAACAACAGCCGAAGCAGCATGATGATATTCAATGCCATAGTTGCCCTCGTACAGGCTACGTTGTCTTACTACGTGTACCTTCTGCCTTCGCAGTGCTCCTTTTTCTGTTGGTTGCTGTAAGCATATCACCTGCAACGCCGTTGGCCTAGCATCCGAAAGTGCACGCGGATAGAAAGCCCAACAGCATCGCTCAAAAGCCCAACAAAAGTAAACTCAGTATCCAACGCTGCTGCCCAACAAGCAGCCACCGGAGCCGCATAGCCAGTTGCGAAAACAACTTTCTGTTGTGTATTGATCGCTCCATGATGTGCGGACAACATGCCACATGCAGCTTCAGCTTTGTTGGTTGCATCGGAGACCGGTATCATTTTCCCGTCCACTGGCAAACTTGCTGGGACGATGGTATCTCAATTCCGCTTCCTTTCCTTCTGTAAACCCTTCATGCTGGTCAGCCGTCAGAGGCGCCTAGCTCTTGTCCAGCCGGTTGCCAAGAATCTTCTTAGGGTGTCTTTTATCCAGCGCACGTGTCCAAGAAATCTGAACCCAGACCCTTGTGCTTCCCACACCAGTTACTTGTGCTGCCCAGATCAACCACGCTGCTTTTGTTTCAAACAATCAGCGAATCATCTCGTTCGCAGCGGTTGGTATGTCCTTTCGCTTTAGGAAGATGCCGAGCCAGACGTTGGCAGGCGCATTTGTTGCTTGGATTGACTCATGGTCGCACAGCTAGAAGTGCATCTGCTTGGTTGCGGCAATTGCCGCCCAAAGGACAAGAACTGGATCTCGGAATACACTTCTTGATCGCCCACTAGGTTCCAAGTCAGTAGTCAATTTCTTTGGGAAGCCACAAGGAGGGTCATGTTTTTCTTTCGCTCTCTTTCACGCCCCGATCAGACCTTCTCAATAAGTAAGCAAACCAACTTCCCCGGAAACCGCAAGGAGAAGGGTCACGTGCCTTTCACTCCTCTAATTTTATCAACTCTGATGCGCAGACCTTCTCCATGGATCATCTCCTGGAGCTGGCCTACGACAGCTGGAGCAACGGCAGGATCGGCGGACTGCCAACACCGGCGCCCGGTTTTTGCTGGTTTTGAGGGCTTGATGCAGCCCACCGGATGGAAACCAGATTTGAGCGACAATCAAAACCCGGGTAGATGAAGGTTAGCAATACTAAGGGAAAGTCCCAGCCAGAATTAGTTGCGGCCGCCTTTTTTGTAATTCTTTATATGGTTCTGGGTAGACCATTTTACTGCCGAGCTTTGATTATGACTCATTTCGAACTACTGCACCTTACAATTTCCTTGACCGCGCACAGATGTGGTTGTGTATCCGTTTATGATCCTGACGGGATCCTGAAGATGGACCCATGTGGGATGGAAGTTGCACACCTCGTTGTCCTTAGCTTGGTCGTGCAATGTGGGCGGAGTCGCTGACCGGAAGATTTGCGAATTCGCTTCATGCATGCGGGTCTTTGGCACGCGGGTCAAAACATTGTCTGACTTTTCATTGACTCTCACACTAAGCAGCAGAAAAATGGCCAACTGAACCGTGAGTTTGCCTGCAGACATCCCATCACATTCAAAGCCGAGTCTTTGGACCAGGTCCTTTTGTTTCGTCAATTTGGATCAAAATAGATGGATTCCGCTGTTTTCAATTTGCTTCTAACCATCCAGTAGCAAACTGCCACCAGTGAAATCCCATGTTGGTTTCTACGCTGACGATAGAAACGCAGCACCCAGTAACACGTACCATTTCCAATTCCAAGCTGACACAAAAAGCAAGCATCTAGTTTGCATACTTTGAACCAAACTTTGCTGAATGAGACCATGGCTCGGACAAACATCTAATCCTTCAGCAACAGGTTTCAACCAATCTGACACAAGAGAAAACATCTACATTTTACTGCAGGAGACCATGGCTTGGAAGAACATCTAAATTTTCAGCAACAGGTTTCAACCAAGCTGACACCAAACTTTGCTGAATGAGACCATGGCTTGGAAGAAAATTTCATTTTTTCCAGCAAAAGGGATACCCGGGCGCTTTTTTTTGTTTTTGCTCCACCGCTTCGTTCTTTTTTCAGGGAGCCACTGGGCCCGATCGCCGGCACCGTGGTCTTCGACTCCTGGCCCTCCACGACCCGCCTCTCGGGGGTTCGGTTCCGGCGCGTTCTCTCGAGTCGCCGGGAGGCGAAGCTTGGGGATTTGGGGATGTGAAGCCTTCTAGGTCCC